TGTTCCAACTTTCAAATTATATTTTGGTTACAAAAATCCACTTCAATTAGTTAACTACTGAATGTACAAACCTGGCACAGGTTCCTCAAGGATTGATAGGGATGTGCATTCACGTTCATACCCATATATGTATGTAATGTATGTACACATATGTGTATATATGTGGAGCTGTATCTTTGTACAGTGGAGGGAGAGGCACTGAAGTACAGAAGCATGTAAAGGTGGTCACTGTTTTCTCTGGTTCTTATACGTCAGTGTTCGATTTCTGTTCCTCACTGCACACCCATCTTTTTTCTTTGATAGATATACTTAGAGGTTTTTTCAGCTCTATGGTCATTAATAAACTGTAATGTGTGTCAATGTGTTGCATCTGCTGTATGCACGTATTTATCCCTACTTGTAACCACAGGTATAGATCAATGTATTTATTAGGGAATTGCATACCAGGACTACTTGATAAAGCAAATAGGTGATGCCCAGTGATTCCAGGTAGATTGTCTAGTCTTTTTGTCAATGCTTTCTTCAGCCTTTATATGTTCCTTTGAAAAGTCGAGTACTTTGCTAAAAGCGTAGGATTGAAAGAAGCCTTTGGATAGACTGAGTCCTGTACTCTGCTACTGTAGGCAATAGCCTGATCTCCTTTGTTATTCTCTCCTGGAAACAGTTAGGTCTTGTGCTGTCACTGCTTGGAAGGTGGAACTATTTCAGTAACTTTCAATAGCATTAGAAAATGTGGTATGATTTATCTGGGGAGGGAAAGAGGGCCAGCTATTCCATATGCTCAATGGAGTTATAATGCATCACATCCTGTGCACCCTGCAAAGATGTCAACTTCACTTGTAATTGCAGAAATGCTCATACTGGGTACAGGAACGTGGCTCTTCAGGTGTAGCAAGTTGTGCTGTAGTCAAACATTGGCATGGAGTATTCTCTGCTCTATTGCTGTGGCAGTCCATCTGCAAGCACATCTCCATAGCATATGTGAAAATAAATGCTGGAGAAGTCTTTAGAGCATATGCCTCTCCCCAGGAAAATAGATGGAGGATCTGAGATTTAAAAAAATGAGTCACTGTGACTCACTACAGTATATCCGTAATAAAATCTATCTAAATTTGGTAAGGAACTCCAGGAACTAATTGCCCTAGGTACTTACCCCTTTTATTTTTTTGTAGATATTTGTCCCTTGCTTCTCTAGCAATTAGGTGCTGTATGTACAGAAGATGTAAGAGTTCAGTAATGACTGCTGTGTGATATTCTAGATTAAGGACTTCTGCTCTTGCAAAATTTATTGGTGCCATGTTTTCAAGTATCTCCTTCAAAAACGGTAATGAAATTAGGAATAATGAAAGCTCTCCGAATGCTTCAGATTTTAGTGGTCTTGTATTGTGTTAGAAAATGTGAAAAAATTATTAGAAGTGTCAGTAGCATGTAATAAATTTAGATTACCAAATGTGGTTTCTGTTGGGAAGAGATCACATTTACTATAAATCACACATTTGCTACTCCAAAATTGCAGTTACTCAAAATTTCTTGTCTAAAATCTTAAATAGATAATAACCTTGTTAGCAGCATTAAAGTATGCAATGAGTTCTTGGGTAGTTTGTAGCACATTTAGGATTAATTAAATTTAATTCCTAAACTTCAAGTTGGCAATTAAACCAGAGGTATTGAAGGTCCTGAATGCTGAACTTCTGAATAAATTTTTTTTACCACTATTTCTTGTATAAAAAGGAGCTCAGAGAAAACATAAGACTGACTCAAAAGCTCACATCTTTTTGGAAAACATTTAGGGGCAAATTGTTAGCCTTTATATTGTACTTAATATCTCAGTCCAAATTTTATTTGTGAGGGATCATATCTTGTGTGAGACAATGGTTTAGAAGCCGATTAATGCCTGTGATACATTTTCTTTCAAGAATAGAACAACCACAATTTGTATTTTTTTATAGAATTAAAAGAACCTACAACCTACAAACAAACATAAATAATTAGACAATATAGAAATGCTGTGTGGACCACAAATGGTCCACAGACAACTTATTTTTATGTACCAATATTCTCACTCTTTTGAGTACAAGATAAAACAGTTCAGACCTTCAGTACCTATGTGAAGATGCTAAGTAGAAAGCAGAGGACCATAAAGGCAGAAGTAAAAATGGGTCCTCTGTGAGTTGAAGCTATTAGTGAAAGTAATGATATCTTTGCATTTATGTGTTAGCAGTAAAATTCCTCTTTGTAGAGAGGTAATTCAAGCTTATGCCTTATCTAAGTGTGCTATCAATGGGACATGTTTTCATATGCTTAGCATTTGAGCCAACATAAAAACCAAAAGTCGTCTTAAGACTTAGGGCAATCCTTCCTTTCTTTCTCTATTCTTCACCGTGTTAAGTGTCTAAAATGAAATTGGAAATACTCAAAGCAGTTTTGGACTCAGGACCTGTAGTCAGATGTTAAATGTAAATTGTGGCATCATCTTTAAAATGACCTCCTAAAATAACATTTACTCTGTGTTTAAATGAGTTGAATTTTCAAATTACAAATTTGCTTCCTTATGAGGCTGTTATCAGAAGGCATGGAAAAATCATTATCTTGCTTTCATTTCTGATTATAAAGCAATAAGTTTATTTTGGATGTTATTAATTTGTATCTAATTGAGATGGATGGAGGCTCTAGTTAATCTTGTTTACATTCAAATGTACTCTGGGATGTTTTACCAAATCTAAAAAGACAGGTTGAACAGAATCTGAATTGAAATTTTCAAGTTTTTACAAGGTTCCTACTTAAAGTAGAAAAGAAACAAAACACAACAAAGTAACTATTGTCACTTTGCCCATAATTTGTTTTCCAAAGTCGGCTTGTGTGTCTAATCTATAAAACTGTGTATTTATAGCAAATCCTTGCCATACTAAACCGGGCAATTTTAAGACAGGTAGTAGCATTCTTAATCGTGTTAGCTAAAGCATTCATGTTACTTGAACAACTAGTTCTTTTTTTTTAATTTGCCCTAAATTTTGTCTAGCAATTCATTCTGGTATGATGCAGAATTCATTTGATAGGATCTGTGAAACATGAGCAGTGTCTAAGTGTTTAAAGATCCGAGTTCTAGTGGTGATAAGTACCTTCCACTCATTAATGGTCATCATTAGCCTTAACAGCTCCCAGCTTTTAAAGAAGATTCTTTTCAATGTTATCCTTGAGTTTTTCTTTGGTTCTTTCATAATACTGTTAGGCATTGCTGGCAAGTACAGTTATGCCATTGTTGCATTTGCCTCAGGGTGAATGAAATTATGGCCCTGTGCATTGGATTTACATCAAAATGAAAAAAAAATTGACAAATCTGTGCTATTCTTGTTTAGGTGGAAGGGACAGAGTGAAACCTCCAACAAAACGCATCTGCTTGCATTGCTATAATGGAATATTTTATTTACTGCTCTTTCAACATAAGACTTTTTTAAAAAGCCTGAGTGTGGTATAATCTAACTAGGGGCATGGTGTAATTTGCCCAACTGGAAACAGGACAGGTGACTTAGAGTGCAGCTGCAAGATTATATTAAGTAGAAGCCAGTGTTTTTCTGTAAAATCTCAAATGGGATTCTTCTAAGGTGTGTAACAACAGAGAGGTGATTTGTCATACTTGCTTCTCCCCATAATCTTTACATGTGAACAAAGAAATGGTTTTCCTGTGGCTGTTTAACAGTTCAAGGGTTGATGCTTCAGACTGGTGAGCTCCACTGCTAGACATGTTCTTAAGTTGTGACCTTGGCACTCTGAATAAGTGTAGCACTCAATAAATAAGTGTAAGATCATCCCTCAGCTGTCAGGTTTAGGTTCTAGGTATGCATATTTATATCCTAGTTCTGAAAACGACTGCTGATTTCATTGTGAGGTGGGAAGGGTCTGTTTACTTGGAGCTCATCTTGGGACTGGAATATTTAGGAGGATCAGTTCATCTCTGTAAACAGCAAAATATATTTCAGGAAAATTTTGCCTGTCACTTTTAGATGATTAATTATCTATTTAGTTTTATGAAAAAGTGTCATTACAGTTAGATATTTATTAAGTAGTTGAAATAACACTCTACTAATTGAGTATTTAATACATGTTTGCTTTGTTTGCATATTCTCTGTCTCAGTAAAATAGCGTGGGGGCAGAATTTACTTATGTGTGAATGTAAGTGTCCCATATATATCTGCATGTTCTTGAAATAAAATTAATTTGGAAAAAAAGTTCTTTGAGACAAAGCCACTAACAAAAGGTAAATTGTTTTACTGCCAATTTTTGCTTCAGGCACTAGGATGATATGCTTTTTTCAGTTTTATGCTGAGGTCTCGGGAGATACCGTATTTGTAAAATTGGTATTAATTAAAAATGAGAGAGCAATTTGGTAGGTTTAGGCTTGATTAGATTCCCCAGAAAAGCTCAGATAGCTCTAATGTCGAGAGAAGATCCTAAAGCTGCTTTGTATTTCTTCTTCACTCAGTAGCAGAAACAACTTTCCTGTGAAATTTATGTTTTTTAATTATTTGAGACTCTGAGGGTTTGTTTTGAATACACGTATTCAATCTAAGTATTTAAATACAGAGCATGCCACTTTATTTGAACTCAGCAAGAGGTGGTGATTTGACAGAGTCTGACAGCCTCTGAGAGTACAGTGGGGGAATCATTTGAGGGAGAGTTGGATAATCTGTGCAGGGCTTCCTGTTTGCAGCTTCTGTAATGGAATTCTGTGTTCCAGTGTTCCCTGTGATTTTATTGAAAGTGTGCAATGCCTTCCCAAAAAGACCTGACAGTGAGAGATTGTGCATTTCCCGACAACTGTGACAAAACTGCTCTTGAGAGGCACCTAACTAATACTGGGCCGAAAATTGCTATTTTGTGCATCTTTAGGGTTTAAATAGGATTATATTTGTTTGGCAGTATTGTTTAACTGGTTCTTGCTAAATAGCTGTTAGCTCAAGATGCAGTTTTGGTAATGCTGTTTTTGTTTGTAATCTTCTAAGGTTGTGCTGGTGAGATGGAATGAACCATTCCAGAAATTAGCAACCTGCGATGCAGACGGAGGAATATTTGTTTGGATACAATACGAAGGCAGATGGTCCGTGGAGCTCGTGAATGATCGTGGGGCACAGGTTGGTATGCATGTTTTCTCTGCAGTCAAGAGTGATCAAGTCCTGAGAGACCAAATGAAGAGGACAAGGAATGGTGCTTTATACCTTTCAAAAAGCACAGGAGAAAATGAAACATTTCTTTATTAAAAGGAATGAGCAAGAATTGTCACAAAGGCACTTGGCAAACACAGTGCTTTCTCCAGTAGGCATGATATCAGAGCTTTAGCTGGGCTAATAGTTGGTCTGTCTCATTCTGTGCACTACTGCCTTTTAGTAAAACTGTAAAAAACATCCTACATGGCCCATATATCTATTTTCTTGTCTTTGATATGTTAAGGTAAGCGACTTTACATGGAGCCATGATGGGACTCAGGCACTTATCTCCTATAGAGATGGATTTGTGCTGGTCGGTTCAGTCAGCGGACAAAGACACTGGTCTTCAGAAATAAACTTGGAGAGTCAGATCACCTGTGGCATATGGACTCCAGATGACCAACAGGTAATGAAAATGGGGCATTTAGGGGTGTCAGCTGGGTGGCATTGGTACTCTATAGAATAAACCTCTTTAAAAGTTGCCAAGTGGTCACTTGATTAGATCAGTTCCTGTCAAAACTGCTGCCCCCACTGATAATGAAAATTTAATTAATCCTGTTGTTGTTATTAGGTGAATATGATAGTGTACCAAGTTCCCTATCATTACTTTTCACCGTGGCTCACACACAGGCTTATTCAAAGTTCGTTCTTTGAGACAGGAGTCTGTTAATTGTACCTTAATTTGTTGTTACAGCTATCTTATGAATGCATTTGTGCAGAGATATGGCCTGGACTATTAAACATCTCACTGGTCATTTCTGCGTAGATTTGTCCAGTCTGCACATGCAGCAAAAGCAGTTCCAGCAGCAGATATGGTTATGTCTTCCATTCACATAAGCAAGTGTATGTAACTGAGTGTTGAAAAGATGTCTCAACCTTATGCAAATAAAATTTAAAAGAATAAATTTTGCTGAGCTTTGAAAAAGCCAGTTAAAATCTTCTTTACCATTTTTCTAAATAATTATATGATAGTGGACACAGCAGCATTTACAGCATGGCTGGAGCTGGGGTGCTGGTTTCATTTGCAGGATTTACACTGGTCCCTTGCCTTTCACTGCTGAGATGACTGGATTGGTCTTTCCTTCCACACGCTTGCTGTCATTGTGGTTGTGTATGTGTGTAAATTCAGTGCTAAAGGAAATTATGGGTATAGAATAGTGCAAAGAGAAATCCTCTTAGGACCACAGATGGATTGTTTTCCTTCTTTCATTTTACACTGCCATGGAAAGATGCTGGTTCAAGACTCGAGGTACCATTGAATTTAGAATACTATAAATTCATCCAAGGTAGAGTTATTTTGGGAGTTGCTAGTGGAATATAATAACACTGATAATACACATTTCTGCAGCAGCCTTTAATAATTTTAGAGTACTCTGCAAAGAATAATGAATTAATTATTGCAACACTGCTTTTTAAAGCCAGGGAGTCTGCTTGCCTCTTTTTGAATCTAGGGAAATGTAAATCTTGACAATAAATAATTTACTTGAGATCAAGAGGAAGAGACAAGCAGCAGAAGTAGGAGGGGAAGCTAAGATCTAATAGCTCTCAGTCCTATGTTTTAAACATGAGGCTACCCCACTTGTGTGATGTTCAGTTGTTGCTACTGTATTTGGAAATATCTTCACTTGAGTGTTTAATTTGGAGTGGCTGACTGCCTTTAATTCAGTTTAGCCAATATGTTTGTACTTTCTAATCTGGATGCTCCATAAGTGGTTATTCCAGGAAACAAACACTTGTTCAGCGTCCAGATAAATGCTTTTGAACATAATGGCCAATTCCAGCTATGTGAAAATAACTTGTTTGACTTACAGACTCTGCTGCTGACAAACTCGCTGAAATAGAGACCCGAGCCAGCCATGAGCTTGATGTTGCCCTGCACAGTTCTCCCTAGCTATGTGGTTTGCAGGGGTTTGCATGTTAAGTGATGATGGATCTTTGTACTATTCTCCAGAGCTGGTGGAAAGAAGTGATCTTCTAAAATATATTTAGATGTACTTGCCTCTGGAGGCACGAGGAAACATGAATCACAGAGGTGCTGGGTGAGAGACTGTGCTCAGTTCAAATTAAAAATAGCAAATGGGAGGGAAGGACATTGCATACATTACACATAATGAGTGTTTATGGAAATGGATACCCTTACTAGCTTATTGCCTTACCTAAATTTTCTCCTGATTGGTATATGTGCAAATGAGAACAGGATACTATTCTAGTCTAGAGTAGCTTCAGCATCTTCCCTATTGCTTAATGTACTCTGCTTGTCAGTACAGTGATTGAAAGATAAATGTTGACATTTAAATTTAGATTTTTCTACTGTTCTTTTTGTTACCCCTCTGGCACCATGAAGGTTGCTAGTGAAAGTATTCTTCGAAAGTATTACACTCTGTGGTCCCATGACCTTTAACACAATTATCTTTAAAATTACATTTCTGGGGGATTGTATTGTTTAGAATCAATTTTCTGTTGTCCTGATAGAAATTTGTTCAGTATAGTCTGTCTGTTTGCCTCACTCTTCGGTTCTCTTAACTTTCTTCTTCACTTACTTCTGCATGCATCCTGCTGGTTTTTCCTCTGTCCTCCATCTTTTCTCCTGTATATTCAGCACCAGTAGGCTGTCACCTCTGTCACTCCTTGCTGTGGATGGCTCTGTGCCAGCTCTGTAAGAGGAGGGTAATTTCCTACCACCACTTTCTGCTGGAGACAAGGAAAGGTTGGAGCTGCAATATTGGCACCATCATCTTGTTTGACAGTGTGTGTGGCCTCTGGGTTTGTGTCCTTACTGTGCTTGAAGTGAAGCATCTTTGAGGTAGAGGCTAATGTGTAGAGATAGGATGACCACTAGAGAGGTGGCCAGGGTGGACTACAGTCCTGCTGGAATTGAGCATATAATTGTATCTTTTAACTGATTTGGTACATACTCTGCCCTGATTAAGTTATCAGCTGATTTTGTTAATACTAGCCAAAATTGTTCTGCATTTTCTTTTAGGAAGAGAGTATTATCATTCTTCTTGTGACTGAGTTGTTTTTCAGGTTTTTGGAGCACTTCTTGTTTGTTGGGACAAACTTGTTTTGAGTCACATGGTTGACTGCAGTGCTTTTTCTCAGCATCATCTCTCTCAGATGAACTTCTCATGAAGGTCATTGGCAGATTTCTGCTACAGTTCACACCCAGATCTTGGGTGTGGACTGTGAGCTGTGGGCTTCTTCAGCTAATTCAATACACAGGCCTTTTTAATGTGATTCTGCATGTTCATTTTGGAGGACTAGAAGTCAGTTTTCTCACTTCATCGTGTGTCTGTTTTCTCACTGAGCATCGTGAAATGCTCATTCTGGCATTTCCGCCTCCTGTACCCAATAACCAGAGCGCACATCTGGCCAAGACAGGGCCCCATTGGACTCTTGGGGATGTACAAATGGAAGATTTTATAAGATTGGGCTGTCTGCCTCTCAGGCAGAGTGCCATGCCTATGTTCAACTTGGATGGATGGTATTACTCAGGAGCAGGACTTTCCTTGCAGTTTTTAAATGTTTTTTTTCAGGGCTGCAAGAGGCTGTAGGAGTCATGTGCAGTATTTTTCTGGTGAGCAGGCTCACCTGTGATCGTGTAGAGATGAAAAGTATATTTGAAATGAAAAATAAATTTGAAATATCAGAGAATGCTGTAACCTGTCTTGAGACAATTCTGTGGCATTGTCCTATGCTTGTTTTCAAAGAGGGAGTGTACATACCAAGCAGATTGAGGACTTCATAAGTGAGAAAAGCTTGACTTCTGTATAACCAAAGGGTTTATTTATAATTATAGAAGCAATGTCAATAAGTAATTGAGGATTTTTCCTAAGCCCACAAGTGATACAAAACATCTTTCCAGTGCTTTATCTCCCTTCCTGTGTGTTTGCTGAGCTTGCAGTGACATTTTTCTATCAACTTCCACTGCCCTCAGGCCACCCTTTCCTTCTCCCTATACTTTACCCATTAAAGAGATTATCTCTCTTCATGAGGGAGAAAGACAGTGTCAAAGAACTGGGTGAGAACTGTAGAGGGTCTGATTATCCCTATGTTTATAGCAATATAGTGTAACTCCTTGAACTTCCCTGGGGTTGTTTCTGTTGCTGTTTCTAAGTATGAAAAGGGAAATCACTCTCCAATAGGGGAAACCCTCAATGAAAATGAATTAATATATTTTAATTCCTGGATATCCCAGGAGGTGCTAGTAACCTATATTTGTTCCTGCATCTCTGCCAGTACAAATTATTAGATTTTTCTGACAGCTGTAAGTGCCCATTTCTGGTTTTCCCCCCACCCCTTTTCCTGTTGTAAGCTTTTATTTGTGGAAATTCAGGGACTGGACAGGATTCTGTTTGGCTAGGACATGACCAGTATACATACAGGTTTATGTGAACTTTGCCAGCATGCGTCCTTCTGTTTGCTTTGAAAATAAGTATATAAGCAGCTAGGCTAATTTGATTTGCATCCTGCTGGGTACAACATTAACTGTTGTATGTGGTTACATTGCAATGCGACATGTACAAGTACTAAGAATGTGTAAATACAGGCCCCGTGTTCAGCCTTTTCTGTGCTTAATCAGACAAAATTATGCTCTCAATGAAACAGAAAAGCAGCACCGTGTTAGGAGCAGATACCCTGTGCACTGAAGGGTCTTACAATGCACTGGAAGAAAACAGTGAGACCAGCAGCAGATGAATTGTGTTGTATCAAAGACAACGCAGGGTGCAGGAGCTCTGTGTGTTGTTTTTTTAGAAGTCTCTTGAAGCTTGCAGTAGCTGCGTGCAGGGAGGCCGTTTCTAAGCTGTTACTCACTCTTGCTCCCAGCAGTTGCCATCCTATTCCCATGGCAACCATACAGACGCTTCAGCATCTCTTTTTCCGTGACAAGCAGGAGGCAGGGGCAGGCTCCATCTCCTTCTCCCTGCCTGCAGTGCATCAGGGTGGAGCCCAGGACCCAGAAGGGAGCTCCACGTGAAGAAGGGGATGCGTGTTGTTCCTGAACCCAGCAGTGGAGCTGGGTGGGATCCCTGTGCTGGCGCTGTTCAGGTGTCCCTGAACAGGATCAGCACCGTGCTGTGCCCAGCAGCTGCCCTGTGGTAGCCACAGCTCTCATGGGAGGGAGGAGCTGATTAATAAGAAGTGCTGTCAAATGGTTACCTGTGCCATCAGGTGTTTCATGAGCTTCTCTCTCAGAGTTCTTGGATTTGGTATGGCTTTAGTCCTTGGCAGGAATTTTACCTAATAAATCCTCTTTAGCACAGTCTGCTTTTGGATCCCCTGTTTTCATCTATGTGAGCTATGATTTGCAGTTGCTACTACCTTTTCAAGGAAACGGTGTTGTGAACAGCTCCTAAGCTGAAAGTAAGGACAGTAGCCTCACCTAGCTTCCGGAGCACAGCTTAA